GTACATTAAAAACTGGGAAGAGGTTTGTTCTCTGCAAATTCAGCAGTACTTGTGACTTGCTAATTTAATACTAGAAATTGGCATAAGTACTTGTTTTTTCAAATGACTCATTGCAAAAGATACTGAGCAGACCAAACCGAACATCTTGCCAAAGGTATGTCTAGTATGTCCTGTCTATACCCAACTGGAATATTTGATATGGCTTGAGATGATAGGGGAAAAAGCCATAAGTGAGGAGCCTCTGTGCCCCTCACCCCACGCCAGATAAAATCAAGACAACATTCATTTAATTTAGGGAAATGACACAAGCAAGTGTTTCAGTAAGATCAGATGCACCGATGCCTTTGCTATTTCTGCTGAACCATCACTCCTGCTACTCTAAAAGTACAAAGCTAATTTGGCTAATAGGTTGGCAAGGCTTAGTGATAAAAATCCTCAGACCTTTTTTTCTCCATCTCCAAAATCCTTCTGAAAGAGACTGAATTTGGACTTCATCACATACACCCCCTCTCTGCTTTCAGAAGAGCTACAGGATGGTATCAAGGCTGAAGAAGAGGTCTGGCCTTTAGAATATCTACTGTGTTTTTTCCATAAAAACTTTAAACCAGAACACCTTTTTTTTTGCCAGCTGCTAACAGCCTTTGGTTCTTCATCATCCATCGCCCTGGCACATAACCCATACAGCATGAAAACATATCTTGGCCATATTACACATTTTATACGGACAACATTCTTACAGTGTGGATGTTATTTTCCTTTTTGCTCATCCAGTAAATCTAGAACTGTTTTTCCTGTGTGGAAGCTAAGGCAGTGTCCTGGGTTCAGCAGGACATGAAATAGGACTCTGAAGCTTAGAGAAAGCTCTCATCTGGTAAAAACACCAAACTCCAGACTTGTGATATGACTGCAGCACTGCTACATAGGCATGTACAAGATCTTTAGGGCTAACAAGACTATTATTTTTCAAACAAAAGCATTTTAAAAACTGGTTGATGATTCTGCATTTTATTAAATACACAGTAAGATGATTCATGAGTGTATAATTCCAGGGTATATTAAACTGGGTCCAAGAGCTATGTATTTTCTAATGGTACAACAGTAAAGCAAAACAACTATTTTATAGCTGGAATGCTAGATCAGTTCAGTATTACATAACACACTATGAATGGATGGCCAGATGAGATCTTGCAAAACCTGCATTTTAGCTATATTAGATGTCAAAGTTGCTCTCTCTGATGTGTCAAGATTGCAGGTTTCCACTAGTGCTGAAAACAGCAAGTATTTTATGTGCCCATCCAAAACAATTCCCAAGGTTCAAGCAGTATGAAGTCCAAAAATGGAGACACTTCCCAAATAACCTATATTTGGACGCCTTTGCTTTAGTTATGTGATCTTCAGGACACCACATCTTCCTTCCCCTTGCTTCTGTCTATCAGTAACATCCTTTTTGCAGATAAGTGATGCTGCAAAGAACACAGCAAGGACACTTGAGAGCACACCAACAGAAATGCTGACCCAGAGTTACACTGAACATAGAGAAAATGGCTGGCTTACCTAGGGCAAGCAGAACGGATTGCTAGATTCACAAGTCCTAACCCCATCTCCATGGGGCTAAGAATTTATCATGCATGTTGTGTATGCCTGACAACAGCGTGCAAGTTCAGAGAGAAAAGGAAGCCAACAAACCAGTTTCCTCCAAGGCTTATCATTTCTCTAAGTGCTTCTTTATCGTGACTGCACACAAGCAGTAACACAGACCAAGCTTTCTCTGCCTGAAAATAAACCTGAGCACCACGGCAAGGTGGTGACACCCGTTTCTGAGGCGAAAAGACTATTGATTTACAGGCTAAGAAACTGACTAGTATAAAGTCGATTTCCTATTCTATTGTCTCGGGGAGTAACAAGATCTTCTGTTTACAAACCAAGGTGTAAAACCACCTTTCCAGTCACATCACTGCAGCAACCCCTTCCCAACGCTGCACACCCCACCTCTTCAAAGCGGGAAGAGGGGGGACCGTTCCGCCCCGAGTCTCCGTTCTACCTGCCCTAACTGTCCTGCCTGCTTCCTCCCGGCAGGGAGCAAGGAGAAGCCGGCGGGAGGCCCGGGCCCGCTGTGCCCTCACACCGCCACGGTCGAACCCCCTCCCCGGCCGGCCACACCGCCATTTCCCGTGCGGGGAGCCGCGGCGCAACCCGCAAAAGACACACCCCCCCCCTCAGGGGCTGCTGCCCGCTCCCGGCCGGGGACCGCTCCACCGCCGCCGGAGCCCCGCGCAGCACCGCGGCCCCGGGAGCATGGAGCAGAGCTCGGCCGGCCCCGCTCCCTCCCCGCACCTCTGCCTCCTCCCGCAGTGACCTTGCGGAAGGGCTCACCGTACCCGAGCATCACCACAGCGCCGGGGAAGCGTGAGGCGGGCGGGCAGGGGGACCATACCGCAGCTGTCCGCGCGCGGATCACCTCAGGCACCGCCGACCGGGCGGGCTCCGCTCTGCCCTGCCCGACCCCGCTCTCGGCATGTGTGCGCACGCACGTACGGTCCGCACCCGTCGCCTGCGTGATGACCCGGCCCGGTACCCGGTACCCGGTCCCGTTCCCGGTCCCCGTCCCCGCTCACCTGCCACCGCCCCCAGCTGCTGTGCGCCGCCCGGCCAGTTCCGCATCGAGCGCCAGGAGCGGAACGCACCACCGCCTCCCGCAGGGAGGGGGGGAAGAGCGGAGCGAACCACTCGTACCGACGGCGGGGAGGGAAGGAAAGGTGGAGGCGCTCTCGCCGGCCTCCCGCAGGGGAGCGCTGCGGAGGGGGGGCAGCGCGGGAAGCAAGATGGCGGGGAGGGAAAGCGGCTCCGCAGCCAGGCTGTGTAGGTTACCTGTGACATACCGGCCACATGGAGCGTTAAATTACTGCGTTAAACCCCCTCTTAGCAAGCAGAAGGGAAACCATAGAATTACAGAATCAGCCAGGTTGGAAAAGAACTTGAAGGTCATCAAGTCCAATCTTTACTTCAGCACCACCAAAGCCACCGCTAACCATGTCACCGAGGGCTCATCTACAGGGTATGTAAACTCTTCCAGGGACGGTGGCTCCATCGCTGCCCTGGGAAGCTTGTTCCAATGCTTGAATGCTGTTGCGGTGCAGAATTTTTTCCTGATATCCAACCTAAACCTCTCCTGGCACAACCTGAGGCCGTTTCCTCTTGTCCCATCACTTGTTACTTGGGAGACTGACCCCACCTCACTACAGCCTCCTTTCAGGCAGTTGTAGAGAGGGATAAGGTCTCCCCTGAGCCTTCTCTTCTCCAGACTAAACCCCCTCCAGGTCCCTCAGCCATTCCCAACAGCAAAGCCTGGCTCCAGACACGCAGGGCCAGCAATGGCCACATGGATAAGAAACACGACCTTACACCAAGGAGAGCACTGTGTGCTCTCACCCTTTACTTGCTTCATATCCGTTACCATATCATATTCACATTATCAATTTGCTACTGGCTTCATCCAATTAAATGAGAATTTGCTTATTAAAAGTTTGAGATACATGGGGGGGTGTTAATTCTTTTCGTGCTCCTATGAACCAGCACACTGTGCAATCAAATAATTTAGTGACAAAAATCACTAAAATAAACCCAAAATGCAACCAAACTTATCACAGCTCTCTCAATGTTTTTTTAAAAAAACCAAAACATTTAAAGTGCAAAACAGTAAAATACTTGATTTGATATTCCACATGAATGCTCTTCCCATTGTAAAGGAATTGAGAGTTCAGAAGTACACCCATCCTTTCTTCCCCTGTTGATCTGAATAGTTCATGAGCGAACACAGCCATTGCGTAAGGGCACAGCCAACAGAAAACACCACCAATGCTGTAGTTCAAGCATCCATGATTTCTCCAGTAGCCAAGTTAACAGCGGTAATTTGAAACAGGTAAGGGTACAGAGCCTTAGAGCAGCAGGACTGAGGCTCAAGCCTAGGTAGCATTTTGCAAATATAGAAGTACAAAGGACCACTGCTCTGCAGGGAGGTTCTTCCACTAAACCTGCTTACTTGAGCTGCCTGGGCTAACCCAGGAAGCTGCTATATAACAAAAAGAATAATTCTGTGCTGATTTGCACTTACAATGAAAGAGAATGTGAATATGTAGACAAGGAGTTTATAGTGGGTTACATGATAATGAGAAGGGTTGGAGAAGCCAGAGCCCAAGAAAATCCCTACTTTCACCACTGCCATCAAACACCAATGTCACGGGTTGTATCTTGTGAACCCCTCAAATATACATGCAGTTTTCCCTCTTAAAATAAAGAGCTGCTGCTCAAAATGAAGCTAAAAATGAAGCTGCAGCTTCTTGCCACTGCCTCTTCTCGCTGTTGACAGTCTCATTCTTTAGCAAATCCTCTGAGCTGGGTCCAGCTGCCCTCTAATCCACCCAGGGCTGCCTTGAGCCCTCGAGCTCTGCTCATTACTCCCCACTTCATACCCCGCTGCAGCCTCCTGTAAGCCTATTCCCTATTCCCTCTTCCTCTAGTGGAGTAGTTTAAACTTTATACTCTGGAGTAATGAAGAGATTTCAGCAGAACAGCCGGTGGTGTGGAGCTTTGCTGAATCCACAATCCCCGTTGTGTGCCAAGAACCTGGAAAGCAGCTGATGCTGGACAGCTCTCTGCTTCCCCCCTTCTGCTCTTCCCTTAGAGGTAATGCATGTGGATAGCTACTCCTGTTCTCCTGTGCTAATCATTTCTGATGTACTCATGCCAGGTACCAGCTACAGGATCTCACTGAAATCCACTCAACAGCCAGGCGCACACTGGACTCCTACTCAGACATACACAGCATGGTGCACAGGGAGCTAAAATCTCAGAGGCCAAAAGAAACTGCCCGGGGTTGCACTGCTATTTCTTTTCCACCACTTACAGCTTCTCCCCAACCTATATATTCACTTTATCAGCTTTGAGCTTCTTACATCAAGAACTTATTCCATCCTCCTCCAGACTAATGACAGCACATCAGAGAATGTCAAAATCCTGTATTAGGCTTTATTCTTTTATATAAACATTAACATTTCTCAAACAGATTAGTTAAAAATACAGATTTAAACAAGAATTTCTGCAATTGCAACGAGTTATAAAAAACAACAGATTATTTTACAGATTGTTACAAATGCTTTACAAAGGTGCAGAGTGAAGGCCAGTGGCAGGGGACCAACCTCAAGTGCAAAATGGACACGATACCCTCACCACGGGCATAGCGCTCAGATACACAGCCAAAAAAATAATAAACCAACCAAAAAACAAACAAACAAACAAAAAATGAGCCATGTGAACCTCGGTTCTTGGGATGCTCACCGGGCAAGCAAACATAGACCCCTATCACAGAGAAGACTCATGAGACCAAGCTACCAGGATACTAAAGGTTACATCTCTTGAGATCAGCCGTAAGGTGTTGTTTCTTAGAAAGGAAGGAACGGGTTTTACAAGAGTATTATTTCTCTTATGGCAAACAAAATATTGGTGTAAATCCTAGAATACTTATGGATGTGGATACTTATGAACTTGGGACATAAATCCAGTGTGGATCTCACAGTGCCCAGGGTGAAGAAAGGATACAAGACCCAAGTGTCCTTCTAAAGCAGTTGGCACTCCTCATACAGGAGGGACCTTCAAGTCCCATGACCATCACTAAAACCTTGAGCAAGTACCTTGGAAAGACTTTGGCAAAAGCAAGAAGACAGATCTGGTTACACCCAATATTCTTGCAGCCCGTGATCTGGAAGTTGTGCAGCCCACAGTTTATGCAATGCCCACGTATTTCACCAAATGCAGTGTGTCCTCTCTCCTTGGCCAATACATCTTCACACCTACCTTGGAACACATGCCGCATGCTCCAAATTCTTGGAAGTTTTTAGGATCCTTCCACCACACCTACCTTGCCTAGGTACCAGTCCTTCCCACCTATCTTTCTTCTATTCCACTCCTAAAGGTAAAATCTATGCCCTGATTTGTGTGGAACTACAGTTTTCCAGCTGTTAGCGACTCGAAGGTAGAGTGAACTGGCTGAGAACCACCACGAGATAAAACTGTCATGTATTACAGTAAAAAAATAGTCCACTACTTTATGCCTGACATCCTTCTGATGTACAAACATTCCCTATCCAGAGGACCTCCCTGTTAGATGAAGGGCACTACATATTAGAGGAATCCTTTTTCAAAGGAGGGCCAGAATGAAAGGGCAGCTCTAGAGATGAAGTCTCATAATACAGAAATAACAAGCTACTTCTCTTGGAATCGTAAAGGGCAGCACATACAAGAGATTTTATTTATAGGAAACCCAGTGAAACCCCTAGAACATCCACATTGACTTCCCTGAGCTCCTCAGATCCAGGTACACTGGGGACCCTGCAGAAGCCTTTTGAGCTGGGTTACTCTCAATAGAGAGGATTTGGCAATTTCTTGCAATTGCCTTTTCATAATCAACAAGAGAAAGGAGAGTATCAATGGGCAAACCCTCAAGACATGCTTAGAGAAGAAAAAGACTCAGAAGGAAGAGGTGCGTGATGGGGGAAGGTCTTAATTTCTACTGTGTTCAGATGTTTTGTGTCATTCCTTTGGGGTATGGGCACTACATTAAAACCAACCCCCCCAATCTGATCTACCCCAGCTGCCTCCTGAATAGTCTCATGACAACACTGAAACCCCAGGCTCATCACTCCCTGCACTGCTGAGCCCAGAGTTCAGTGTTTTGGAGAGGGAAAGCTGGCTTCTCATTAGCAAAGGCTGGGAGATGGCATTATGTCAGCACGTCAGTGCCCTGGGAGCATGCGGTCACTCATGCACATCCCAGATTTCTGAGAGCAGGGGAGGGAGTTTCTTATCCTGCAGCCGAAGGGCAAACACCTGTTCAGAGTGGACACTGCTCAGTGTCCGAAGACTGACCAACTTCATTAACATCCGTGGAAACATCAGGCGGTCCTGCAGAGGCAGACAAATGGGCAGCTGTTAGCAAAGTCACACTAAAACTTGGTTAAAGATAAATAGAATCACCACACCACATGATGCACTGTAACCACAACCCTGACTTCCTCTAAACCCAGCATGATCCAGGAGGTGACAGTCTGGAAGAACACAAATCATGAGATAGAATGGTTTGGGCTGGAAGGGAGCTTAAAGATCATCCAGTTCCAACCCCCTGCCAATGGGCCCAGACATCTCTCACTAAATGAGGTTGTTCCAACCTGGCCTTGAACACTGCCAGGGATGGGGCAGCCACAGCTTCTCTGGGCACCCTGTGCCAGCACCTCAGCACCCTCACAGGGAAGAATTTTTTCCCAGTATCTAATGTAAATCTCCCCTCTGTCAGGTTAAAGCCCTTCTTCCTTGTCCTGTCACTACCTGCCCTTGTAAAAATTTCCTCTCCAGATTTCTTGTAAGCCCCCCATTAGGCACTGGAAGCTGCTCCAAGATCTCCCGACACAGAATACTACACCATGTCCTGAAACTCCAGGCTTTCCATCCTGGCTAAACTATGCAATATGCTACAGGACAGAAGGCTGTGAGAGCTCACAAATTCTGCATTTACATCTGCTATCAAACAGCTACAGAAGGGAAGAACACAACAGCACAGAGAGCAAGAGACCTGTTACAGACAGTACCACAGGAACTGTGCCTGCATAAACACAAAATCAGTTTGCATCATCGCTGGAGATATTCTGGTCAGGCACTTACATTTGGTCTGTTGATACAAATGTAAGAATGAAGGGCTTCCACATAGGTGTGCTGCAGCCTCTCCACCAGGGACTGGTCCTGCACATTCGGTCGGTCTGCCAAAAAGCATGTTACAAGTAAGTAGATGGTCTCAGGCAACTTCACTGAACTCAACATCACTGCCTAACCCCAGTCCCTCAGTACAGTTTCTCCCTAAAAACCTCATCTAGAATTCACCCGGCACAGCAGGAGAGTCCTCCATGACTGCAGCACCTATGTCCATTTTCTGTAACTGTTCTTTCTCAGTGATGGCACATGCAGGGTGTGATCTGACTCCTAGAGAGGTGGAGGGTTAGAGGGACCACACAGCACTACAACAGCGTCTACTGTCACATTCCTGCCCCAGCGAAGATGAGAAGGTGCCACTAGATGTCACTCCTGCTGTGTGACCCGATTCATACAAGAAGTGTGCAGAGTACATTAACGGGACAGTGAAATAGCAGTTTCTAAATGAGGAAGATAAATATCACCTGATTTTAACATACACTTTTCCAGCAGTGGGGAATCTTATTTCCTTTGGAGGTGGAACTAGAAAATTCATAATACAACAAATACCCTAAGCAGAAGTAGTAACACACTTCCTTTATCACTAGACCTTACATACCCTCTATTACTCCTCTTCAGCTTATGACCTTCCTAAACTCTAATTTCTTTGCCCTCTGACTCACTGCTGCAGCTCTTCAGATCTCCTTGGCTTTTTACCTGCAGAGAAAATGTTGATGGCGATTAAAAGTGCATATTCGGCATCGTTCAGCTGTAGCTCATTCATTCCCTTTGAGAACTCAAAGATGGGGTTAATGAACTCAAACTGCAGACCTGCAGCAAACAGAAGGGAACAATGTGAGGTAATGGTTTCCCTCATGGAATAAGCTGCCAGAAACCCACTGCAGTATGTCAGGGAGTAGGGAGGACAGGAAGGAAGGGAAAAACTCTAATGTTAGATTCCAAGTGTGGTGGAAATCTCCCTTTACATCCCACTACCACAGGTGAGCACCAACAACAGTAGGTGAGGAGTCAGGCTCTAACTGTAAAATGACACTACTTGTTTCTCTTAAAGCCTTAAATGCCTCACAGCACACTACCAAGCAGCAGCTAAAGGAACATGAAACCAACTATCAGGTAAGTCTATCAGAAAGTCAGAAGCCCACAAGTACATCTACGCTTTCCACTCTTACACCATCACTCCCTTCAAACCCTCTTGCTTTTCACACCATCACTTCCTTCAAACCTTCTTGCTTTTCAAAGCTTTAATCCCATACTCCAAGGATTAAAGCTCATCTGAAGTTTGTCTGAGCTGAAAATATATAGTCCCAAGAAGTCTGAACTATGCCATTTCCTTCAGCACAGAAAGTTGGGAGAGCTCAAGCAGAGCCTGACTTGAGCTTCCAATCACCTCTTTTGATAAAGGCAGACAGGCAGAAATGCACTTGGGTATTGTTGTAACATACAGAAGTCACTGTCAAATCAGATCTCTGTGCTATACAATCATGCTGAAAACTTCAGGCCTTTCCCTCCAAAAAGCATCCAAGTTTCTAATTTTCTGCAGCACAGCTACATCAGAGAAGGATGAACAAGTTGCAGGGAATCTTTCTGGCTGCTTGCTTTTTGCCTTCCTAATAATCTGAAGAAAAGGCTATCAGGAACCATCAAAGAGGAAATTTGTATATAAAACCCATCTCAAGTGTAAGTGGTTAGATAGTTACCCAAGGAATCAAAGTCATATGAAAGACAACCAAAGTCTCATTTCCAGAAATGCTGGATACACACTTTTCCGTTACTCCACTGGAAATTATTGCTCATGGAAAAACAGACTTCAGAAACGACATGACCACAGACCATCACATACTGAGCTGCTGACATGACTGAAGCACTCTGCAGGGATCTTCAGTGCACAGTATAGACTTCAGATCAACCGAAGTGTAATCACACTAATGTCACCATTCAAAGCATGCATCCAGATGAGGAAGTGATGTACTTGCAAAGGAGGGAAGACGGGTTTGATTTACTGTTACCTGATATGGCTTTAAAACTACATGTCCACATCAGATCTCTATGAGCAACAAAGCTCACACCAGTTGCTAGCCCTAGGTGCAGTCTTACAGAAAGATTTTAGTGCCGTAAGAGTCCAATTTTCCCGAATAAAGCTTACACCTAAAGAAAGAGACAAGAACTAAGCTAGTATCACATGTTAAAGGCAAAAAAGGGTTTGTGGGGCTATTGGTCTGGTCCTGTTCTCAGCCTCTCACCTGACTTCAGTTTTAATGCCTCACATACTATTTCCAGTAGCTCACATTAAAACAGAAAAGATGAACACAAGACACAGGGAAGGAAGAAACACCTGTCTAATGCACCACCTGCTTTGGCGAAGTCATCCCGATTATAGCTCAGGTCCTTAAGAAAGGTGATGCTCTCAATCTCTGGATTATAGCGCCGAGATGTCTCCAACAACATCACCTGAAACCAGAAACAGATTTACTTGATTTGAAAACAGGGAAGAATGTTACAATATCAGTAATTTGTGGAGTGTCAGAGGAAAAAAATAACCAACCAACCAACCAACCAAAACCCAAAACCAAATTCTACTGCATCCTTTGTGGTATCAGCTTCAGGGAGGGGGGAAGAATCTGCTTACCACTACCAAGGCTCTTGCCTCATTCTCCTCCATGGCCCTATAGCCAGGCATTGCAGTAATGGTCCCAGAGCTGAGGTCCTTCAGCCTGCCATCCCCAAAAATGGGATGGAACCACGTGAATAGTCCAGATTCTTTTCTCTCTGCTACTGTGTATTGTGGAGGAGCCAAACTCTCACCTCTATGGTAGACGTCTTCAATAAAGCGATCTGATCTTCCCTAGTGAGCTCCAGGAAGCCAGGTAGTTGCTTGGCAAAGTCCACAATCTCTTGCACAGAGATAATTGCAAGTTCTGTGAAGTGAGCAAAACGCTGCTGCCTTGCTTCACGGTTATTAGGGTCTGGAATTTGGGGCCATGGCTGTGGGAATGGGAAGAGAAGGTGTATGTGAAAGATGGAGCCAGGGCAGAAAGATGAGAAGATGAAGTGAACAGAGAAAGAAAATGAGACACATTGAAGCATCATCATCCTTTGCTATTCTTTACAGAACTTCAGCCCATAGATACAATACCTAAAGTGTATCTGTTCTCCCACATAAGCTACCCACAAATCCAACTCCCCAAACTTTTTCTGATTTTGGGAACATTGGTAGAGTTCTTACCGTCACTTTGAGCCTGTCAGTGAATGAGCGTTGGTTGCACTGCTGCTGAGCAGCCACCAGCTTCTTTATCATGCTCAGCTGTTCAGGGGTCAGCTTGTGGGAAGGGCTTGGCGGATTCGGAGGGTTTGGACGCACCACCACTGTCCGAGCCTGATCATCTTCCTGCTTCTTCATTTTCTTCAGTCGGATCTGTTCTTCAGACAGAACATCTAAAGAAGGAACAGTCAGAGATCAATCATGACATACAAACACACTGGAAATCCCACGGAACACAGGGTAACATGCTGTGGATGGAGAGGCAGAGATCACAGCTGCCTGTATCTGGTGCATGTAAGTGTACACAACACAGGCAGCAGACAATGATACTGCTCATTTGTTTCTCCCTCCTTTCCCCACTTCAAGTTGTTCCATTGCCTTTCACGTCATACTGTCCTGCGAAGTGTTCACAAAGGACAGAAGCTCCCTTCACAATCTCAGAAATATAACAGTGACTTGCCCCATTGAGCAATTCCCCCAAACTTCATGTTCTAACAGATTCCAACAGGTGCTCTGTGGACATGCCATGGTGTGTCCATTAGATTTTATATTATCCTGCTGTTGCATCTTTTCCCGATATTGCTAAGTTAACAACTTGTGTCATTTCATCTTCCTCTTGAGAGGTCACAGTCAGTACTGGATGGAGTCCAAGAGTGAAAGAGCAGCAAACTGTAGAGTAGTAACACACTGGAAGATGATAACGAAAGAATAGCTTGTCATAAAACACACCAAGGACCACAAGTCCTTCAGTAGGGCTGTAAGTCAGTCATGAGGTCAAAGGATATGTCATTCAGTAAGCACAGAAATAAGGCACACTGCTATCATCGTAAGGAATAAAGCAATTCAGAGGTATGTGTTGTGAAAATCTGACTGGACCAACTGCTCATTAGCTAATCTCAATATACAAACCTGTTAACAGCCTGCAACTGAGTTAACAGAAGAATTCACCATTTTGAATGTAGAGGAGGTTGCTGTTTCTTTAAGTCAAAGCTGCAAAAAATATCTGCAAGCTGCACTCAAAAACCCAGGCAGCTACCAGACAGACCTGGATTCAAGGACTGTCTTCAAGAAAACCATCCTGTTAGTGATGAGTGAACAAAAAGAAGAAAAGGGACTGATGGGATAAAAAACAACAAATGAACCACCATGCATCTTCAGGAACAAAGCTAAAAATGAAGGCAGGCCCCAAAACTAAACAAGTATATACATGCACTTCTTAAAAGGACTATGTTAAACATGAAGACAAGAAATGAACATCTATCATGAGACAGCATTCTGAAATGGAGAGTCCAGTCCACAGGACTGGAGGGAAAGATGGAAGAACATGGCACGTTCAAGCTGAGAGTAACCTTTATCCCTGACTTCCAACAGGGAAGATGCACACACAGGTATGCACACACACAGAAATGACAATTCAAACAGCCAAGAATATCCAAGACAATTACCAAATTAAGGGGGATCTGTAAAATTAGAGAATGCTAGTCACCATGTTAGTTTAAGAAGGAAAGTAATTGATCCAAGTGATTACAGTCCCTCATCTTGGGACTCAGATCCACAAGGAATTTATAGCTGAGTAACAAGTTAACCAGGTATTACTGAATCCCGAAAACTGCCTATGTGCAAGCTTCTACACCATGCTAAATTCAGAGCATCTAAGTTACTTGGTTTGCCATACAGGAACTATTTAACCTCATGGCTCATGCTGGCTTAAGAACAATAAACTGGCCATGAATAACTTCAGCCTGGGAATTAGAAGAATGTTTCCAACAATTAGCAGAGGGAAGTTCTGGAATGAGCTTCCAAGTGAAACAGCTGGAGGAAAAAGCCCTTGGTTCCTGTCAAGATTAACAAGATGAATTTGCAGTGGGATTACAGTGTTGACAAGAATTGCTGAGCACTTGATAATAACTCAAAGATTCCTTTTGGCCTAATTTTCCAGAGCTGTCTTCAACATAAGACAATGAGTAAAGACAGAAATGAGGCTTTCTGCTATCTACCTGCAATAGAAGGTTAGCAAGGTGGATAAGCAACCTTGCAGCTCAGAAGGACTCACTTTTTGCAGAACTATTTTTATAAGATGTTTCCAAAATACCCTCTGTTCCTCACTGTTCCGGATGCTGGATGTCAGAGGAGACTTCATACAGATTTAATGTTAACCGAGCATCCACTTGGTCAGCCTTGGTCAACAAAGGGATGAAACCCAGATACCTTGGCTGAAGAGGGCTATGCGAGAGGAACGCCGTTGAATATTCAGAAACAGCAGCTTTATGGCTCGTGGGAGAAAAATAGCAGAGTTCACTAAAGGGAGCAACGAGATCAGGCCTGCACAAACACAGCTGCAGGGCTGTGGTGCTGCCCTTGACCTCTGTCACAAGCTCACAGCATGAGGCAAAGGGAAGTGTCTGTTCAAAGAGCACAGTGAGCAACTTTGCAGTCCCGATCAAAAGACAGGCAGAAGCCTGAGTTTACTGATACAGTTGACAGCATATTGAAGAACACTTAAATCTTGGATGCAAGTCTCTCTCCTCTGATGTCATGGGCCACACGTTCTTACAAGGCATACAGCAGGACTGGGGCTCTCAGCACACTGGTGGTGGTCCACCAACAGCCTCACCTCTCCACGTGATTCTGGTGTCCTCAACAAAAAGGACATGGAACTGTTGGAACAAGTCCAGAGGAGGGCCATGAGGATGATCAAGGGACTGGAGCACCTCCCATATGAAGACAGGCTGAGGAAGTTGGGGCTGTTCAGCCTGGAGAAGAGAAGGCTGCGTGGAGACCTCATAGCAGCCTTCCAGTATCTGAAGGGGACCTATAAGGATGCTGGGGAGGGACTCTTCATTAGGGACTGTAGTGACAGGACAAGGGGTAACGGGTTAAAACTTAAACAGGGGAAGTTTAGATTGGATATAAGGAAGAAGTTCTTTCCTGTGAGGGTGGTGAGGCACTGGAATGGGCTGCCCAGGGAGGTTGTGAATGCTCCATCCCTGGCAGTGTTCAAGGCCAGGTTGGACAGAGCCTTGGGTGACATGGTTTAGTGTGAGGTGTCCCTGCCCATGGCAGGGGGGTTGGAACCAGATGATCTTAAGGTGCTTTCAAACCCTGACTATTCCACGATTCTTGCTATGCGCTCAGTGATTTCCATGTGCATTCCAGCCCACATGTGACCCCCAAGCACTCACGTTGCCCCCTTCTTTTCATCCCCGGCCCATGCTCACACACCTCCTGCCCCAACACCACTGTGCTCCCGCCACCACCACTTCCCACACTCACACTGCTCCCGCATTCCTGCCTCCTGGCACTTGCGCAGCCGGCACTCCTGGCACTTGCGCCGCATGTACATGTCCATCTCACACTTGCCACCGTTCTTGCAGACGTACTGCGCACCCTTGATGACGCTGCGGCGGAAGAAGCCCTTGCAGCCTTCACAGCTCAGCACGTTGTAGTGGAAGCCGGAGGCCTTGTCCCCACACACACTGCACACTTCATTGCCCAGCATCTTCGGCGCTGGGCCCTTCTTCCGCTTCAGGGGGGGATTTTCTACCAAACGAACAGTACCAAGGAAAAAGAGGGAAGAAGAAAAGAAACCCCACACATGTGAGGGAAGCACGGTGTCTGCAGCTGACTGCCCCGTTCCTGACAAGAACCAATAGGGTTCACACAAACCCACTATTTCCGAAACATACGGAATTCACCTCCAGTTCTCTTACTTCTGTTCCTTGCCACACTCACGCACAAGGATAAGGAATAATGGTTCAGCAACCAAATAGTGACAGAAAACCAGTGCTGAAACTATGACCCTGCAAAAAGCAGACTCAGTAGGCAATCTCTGTACTGGAACACTTGGGGAAACTGTCAAGACAGAAGACAGCAATTTGGTGGTGTTAGGGGCAATAAGCAGGCAAGCAGCACACTGCACAAGCCCTGTGAACATTTGGAACCCCAAAGCCTTCATTTCTTCTTCAATGAAGAGCATTCCCCATTCCTAAAACTGAAGCACACTCATACTGATAGTTCATTTACTAAACCTTATTATTCCATCTGGAACACAAGGCCTTCACTACAGCCTCACATTTCAGATGGCAGGCTGAGAAAGTTGAGGCTGTTCAGCATGGAGAAGAGAAGGCTGCGTGGAGACCTCATAGCAGCCTTCCAGTATCTGAAGGGGGGCTATAGGGGTGCTGGGGAGGGACTCTTCATTAGGGACTGTAGTGATAGGACAAGGGGTAACGGGTTAAAACTTAAACAGGGGAAGTTTAGATTGGATATAAGGAGGAAATTCCTTCCTGTAAGGGTGGTGAGGCACTGGAATGGGTTGCCCAGGGAGGTTGTGAATGCTCCATCCCTGGCAGTGTTCAAGACCAGGTTGGACGAAGCCTTGGGTGAGACAGTTTAGTGTGAGGTGTCCCTGCCCATGGCAGGGGGGCTGGAACTGGATGATCTTAAGGTCCTTTCTAACCCTAACTATTCTATGATTCTACGGTGTTGTGGAGTAGCTCCCACTTCTTCCTATATTATTCTGACAGATCTTCATCTTGTCACTGGGTGTTTTCTGAAAACACCTTTGGTAAACTCCATTGTGTTTCACTTTAACCATCCCAGCCAAATGCTTGCCAATGTTATTTGTGTATCCCCTCCCTATTAGCCATCTCTCTTTTAATTCCATTTAATTCTAGCCATGCTGACATCTGACATGTCCTTCTGCACAGTTCATAGCACAAGTATTTTTCTTTATGTCAGATAGTATAGATTTTTCTGTCAGCTGTTCATAAAGATTACAACCAGCATGTCTTGATAAATCTTCAGATTATGCTCAGATATGCCTGGAAAGCCTTTACACCGGAGTTAATTCATAGGGATTGGTTTGCAGGACAAGGCTGCTGCATTTCCTGATCAGCATCAGGGTTACAATGGCATATCTCATGCTCGTACACATGGTTCTAATACTTCTATCTTTACCTATTAGATCTCAGAAATACTATTCTGCTCAAGTTCCTGAAATGGTAATGAGTTATAGGTAGGTCTCAGAAATTACTCTTGTCCTTTACTTCATATTGGTTTTCACAACCTTAAGTATCTTGGTGCCAAATTTTTAATCCCACAGACTTTACAGAGGTCTGGAGGTCACTCATTTTGGCCTTCACTTCTATTTGCAGATGGGACAGCAGGAAAATGTCATCAGAAAGGTTAAGTCTCTGATATTTTCCTCTCTTGTTCTACAGTATTTCTCTTCACACAATCTATTTCTAAGAGGAAATTATGCAATGCCAACTGTTATTTCATAGACTCACAGAATGGTTAGGGTTGGAAAGGACCTTAAGATCATCCAGTTCCAAACCCCCTGACATGGGCAGGGACACCTCACACTAAACCATGGCTCTATCCAACCTGGCCTTGAATGCCACCAGGGATGGAGCATTCACACCTTCCCTAGGAAACCCATTCCAGTGCCTCAGCACCCCTACAGTAAAGAACTTCTTCCTTATATCCAAATATTATATTCAAATTATTTATATTCAAATTACTTAGTCTGCCATTGCACATATATGAATGGGTATAATAACTTTGTGGAAGCCTCAGAACATATGTTTCTGAGAGCAACAGAGTAACTTAATGACTTCCAAAGATTAAACTATCCATCTTGTGGATTTCTTAGCTGTCTTTCAGGCATTACATAAACATCTGATTACCGTTTATTGAGACACATGGTCTTAATTCTTGGATTTATGCAAATTATTTTCCATCTCTGAACACTGATCATTTTAGTTAAACAGCTTATTATTGTCTTTTTCTGTAGTGAAAGAGAACATCACAGTAATTTGAGATGTACCAAGCATGAATGCTATCTCTGCACCTTTAGCCCCCATTAGAGTCCTCCCCTTCTTTGCTAGATCCCCTATTTAATAACTTTTTCCACATTTTGTGGCCTTTGTTTTTGCATTTTTATACGACACTTATTGTTTTCTTTCCCTGTCCTTAAATCTGTTTTAAGAACTTTTATTGGCTAATATCTCTTTGCCTTTCAGCTACTGTCTTTGTTTCTACTCTACCCGTAAGCCCTAACCGACTGCTCAGATCACCTCTTTATACGAGGGATTGCCCATTGCCTCATTGTTTAGCAAATACATTTATTTGTCATATTTTCTTTAACTTGCCAACTATATGTTGGACACCTCACTTGTGCTTTCTTGTTTTTCCTGTTACCCATCAGAGATGGGTAATACTACATCTCCTTACAGTTTAACAGTGTAGGATTGTGTGTGTCAGCAGCAATTGTAACTGCAAAATCTCAGTATTATTTCCTGATATCCTTTTGACCTCAGTTAACCTCAGAAATATGTAGAGGAAATTTCTATTGTCTTCCCATTATATGAATCTGCAAGAACCTATTATTTCTTTGCATCACTAACTTGTTGTATTGTCACCTGTAACAAAGCTTTATTGTTCACCAGGTTTTGATAAGGCTATCAAAAAGAAATTCAGTTTACTGTCATGGACCTAGCCTCTGGAAGGTCAAGTAAGCAAAATACTCAACACATCTATCACCTGCGTAAATCCAGTGATCTTCAGCTATCAAGAACTGATTCTATTCTTAGACATTCTCTCTGAGTGCCTCAAGCAGAGCAGAACTCACACTAAATTTTGCCAAGTATCAATTTTTCCAGCTGAAAGAATGGATAGCCTTCAGGTTGCATGGATTTAGTACGAATTTTTCCATACCTGCTTGCTCAGGGGGGTTTTCTGAGCCAGGTAAGAGTGAAAGCCCTTCCTCCTCCATCTCAAATACACTTGCCACCCTCTTCCCATGATCCTGTGTGCTGAGTTGAGTGGGACCCATGGAGGCCACACAGGAAGGGCTCACTATAATCTCATCGCTGCAGCATTGTTACTGCCAAGCAAGGGGCCGCAGGCGTCTTTCTTCAAGGTCTTTAGTTTCTCTCTGCCACTGAAAGTCAGAAAGGAAGTACCTGTGGAAAAAACACAAATACAAAAGAGGCAGAGTTCAACTACTGAGGCTGTTAACTCTCCAAATCCATTACAAGCTGCATAACAAACGAGCTTCAAGAGTTTGTTTCCTTATTTATTCCAAGGGACAATTGGCTTTGTTTTATCGATGTTTATGCTCTTGAAACACAGTATTTTAACAAACTGTGTTAAAGGTACAAGATTAGCACACCCAGGAACAAAACTATCTGTCTATTGCCAAAACATTCATCCAAGCAGAACAAGTCTTCATTACTGCTAACACCATGAGAGGACTTCAGCCCTGACCTCTCCAGGTGTGTAAGAAGGAAATTCCAGACTTTACAACTGGTTGCCTTTGTTAAAGCCTCCAGTAACAAATAGCTCATTGCTGCCCTGGATTTTATGGCATGCACTGCAGCACACATAGAACATTGTAAAAGACAATTTTGCTACAGTTATTTAGCAAATACCACAAAACATCAAATTTCCCTATTAATATCATTATGCAAAGGTGGTGTCAAAGATTAATGATGTATCAAAGATGAGGATGACAAATCCTTCCTTCACCTACAGAAAGAAATTGAAAGCCAGCATCAAACCTACAGGAAATGATGCCACCCTCAGGAAAGAGGTTCACCACCCCCTTTCTGAAGATACCCTTTTCTGGAACCTGGAAACCATACTGAAAAGCAGCTTTATTATACAGCACTAACTCCACTGCAGAACCTGAACCAGGAAAGTGAATCCAATCACTTCTTCCAAAAAGCCCCACCTGCACAGAAAAAGGCCTCACTGGTTTGACTGCACAGACTGAGTGAAACTGGTGCAAACTGCTGATGTAAACAGCCCTAATCTGATTGAACATGCATCTGATCAGTTGATCTTAACTCAGCGATTTACCAATGCGAGCTAAAGGGATTAACCGATTTAAAAAGCAACTATGTTAAAGGCCTGTACCAGTTTAACTTGAGTGATTGAGTTGAGGACTGGAAGCCTGCCATTCTCTGAAAGACAGGAGATGACAGAAAGCTGGGCAGCAGCCCAGCTACAAAAGCATCAGGTAAGCAGGATCATGCCCCACACACTGCTGAATGGGAAGAGGTAGAGGTCCCAAAGTCCCTTCTTCCCTCCTGGGTTTTTGGACCAGATTGCATAACTCTTCTTAGAACACCAAAGGCAAAGATGAAAGTAATAATTCCACAAACCAGCCCCTCCCTGGACTCTGAAAGGGTCATCAAGCACAAGAGCCATCATGCTGTCAAGCCTGCTGAGCTCCTGCCATCTCCCATTACACAGTGGCAGGTAATAAGGTGTTAAAAACCACAGGGCACATTAATCCACGTGAGCTTTGTAAACACAGCCTCAGAGTGTATAAGGAGTTCAGAGATCCCTCCCTTCTGATGCACACAGCCACTGAATCGCTGGACTGCAGCAACTGAAAACCTGTGGAGAGGCACTGAGCATCAGATGGAGATAGGAACTGCACTGAAACAAACCCAAACCAAACTTGTATTCCCAGTCCATGTAAATTCACTGATGCCGATATCAGATGTCTCTGGACATGCTTGGGCATGAAACAACAAAGCTAAGTGTAGTGCCTCAGTGCATCTCCACATTCCATTAAACCATGCAAAAGAGTCACTCAAACATTAACTATTGTGCAGAATGAATCACCAGCAGCAGTCCCACAGTCATTTTCCAAAGGAAGAGTTTGATCCCCCATCTGAAGGACTGAGTGATAGCTCTAAGGCCCCACTGCCTCCAGTTCAGTGACCCAGTCTTGCTGCATCCCAGCCACAACTGCTACCTATTCCAGAAAGCAAAAGAGGAGTATCCAGCCTGCTGGGATTTCAAAACTGTGTCATGCACAACCATAACTGACACTGCAAGAGCAAAACTTGCTGTCAGCAGGACATCTGGAGCCCAAAGGGGAGTTTCCAAGAGACTGCAGGCTTCCTGGCAACATCTGCAGCTACCAGCCGGGAGTGGAGTATAAGTCCATGTGCACACCCAGGGCATGATGAAGGATAAGGCCTATCAGCTACCCTCTTCATGCTTAATGCCAACCCACACATTCCTACTTCATGCACCAGCCACCTCAAAGGGCCAGACAGGAGAGGCCCCTCATCTTTTTTGCTCCCAAGATACAGCATGGTTTAGTTTTGTAGATGCACTAACAATTGTAGGCTATGGGAAACCCACCTAACTGTAAACAGCAGCACTCTGGTGCTAGGTAGAATCATAGAATGGTTTGGGTTGGAAAGGACCTTAAGATCACCCAGTTCCAACCCCACTGCCATGAGCACCAATGCCTTACACTAGGCTATGTCACCCAAGGCTCTGTCCAACCTGGCCTTGAGCACTGCCAGGGATGGAGCATTTGCCACTTCTTTGGGCAACCTGTGCAGTGCCTCAGCACCCTCACAGTAAAGAACTTCTTCCTTATATCCAACCTGAACTTCCCCTGTTTAAGTTTAAACCCATTCTCCCTTGTCCTATCACTACAGTCCGTGATGAAGAGCCCCTCTCCACCATCCTTGTAGACCCCCTAAAGGGAGTAAAGAAACCTAAACTAGCGTTTTCCCCACAGGTACACAAGTGAGAGGCTCTATGACTAGGCCAGGGAATTAGGTGTCACAGAAATACAGGAGGGCTGTTTTCAAATGACTATGAGTTATGCACTAAACTCCATGTTACTAGAGGATAACATCTCCCAATTTGCACTGCCACTTCAGCTAAAAATGCAGAAAGGTGATGCAAGGCGTAACTGCAAGAGGGAACACTGTCTTCTTCACATAATCTGCTGTGCTGCCGCCCACTGACTGCCTCAACTCTGTCAGTTTTAGAAACCAGGGCTGGCCAAGTGACAGAAGATGAAGCAACTGCTTCTCTCCAACGCAGCGTCTAGAACAGAGGAACCTGATGACCAGACATAGTCCAGTGAGGAAGCACACAGGGATGAAAGGCTAAGGGAAGCCATTTCTGCCAGCCCTTGCCACCCATGTCTCAAATAAGACACCAAACGCTTTTCAATGTGTCACCACCAGCTTTGCCCTACTCCATGTCTTCCCTCTCCTTCTCTTTTCCTGAGACAATGGAACAACTGCGATACCAATGGTCTCAAGATCAGCGCTCTTGCAACACAAAGCGCTGTTAACAGAGACTACAGGTGGCAGCCCTGGCTCCTGCACTTTATCCTGAGCACCAGAAACAGTAATCAACAGGCACAAAGCTACAGAACATGCCTAATTTCTGTCCCGAATTCACTGAGGACACGTAAAGGAGATGGTACAGGGCAGCACAAAGAAACCAAATGAGGCAGATGCAGTTGCTGTGACACTTCTGCTCAATGAGTCTGTCTTCTTCCTGGTTCCTTTTCTGGTGCTTTCTGCGAGAAGTTTAAGGATCGGGCCCTAGACCAGATGTAAGCACATCTCCAAAGAAACCCTGCTGCGTAGGAATAGCCAACAAGCCCTTTACCTCCAAATACTGGATGTTCAGAGGAAACAGTAGCCTTTTAGAAACCTGGACGAGCCTCTGGGATCTTTCAAGACTGGATTTACTGGTCAGAGTCCTGGTTCTGTGAAATATAAAAACCTACAGCCTTCTGCCAAGGGAAAATACACAATTATGGTTCAAGTCCTATAAATGAATCACAGAGGTGCACTCAGCAGCACATCAGCACCAGCAGAAGAGACCTTACATTCATATACGTATGTCAACATGACTGTGCTTACACATCACACAGCTGTGTGTCAACAGGACTGTGCCTTTGTGCGTGGGCCTAACAGGCTGCTGGTGAGCAAATGCATCTGATAGGAAGGGCTATCAGAGATACCTAAAGCAGGGGTATAATTTGTGTTGTGACACGCAATACCTAGCGCCAGCAATCTGAATCTACCTCTGAAAGCTGGGCGTGCAACAGTGCATAAGGGTTCTCTGCTGAAATCTAAGTGAACAACTCACATAGTGGTGATGCTACCTCAGGCATCAAAAGCTGGCTGCAGATCTAAAGGGACCAGATCCTCCTAGTGCTGGAGCCTTACAGCCCTACCACAGAACTGAGCCCATTTAGGAAACACCACTGTTCCAATCCTTTCATAAGGAGTAACATGTATTTTGTGACCCAGTGTTCTTCCTACATCGTCTCTGGTGCAACAGACCAAGTTATTTTCACAAACTTCCTCAAGGAACTTGGACTACCGTGTAGCTGCCTCAGAGAAACAGAAGTGATTCCCAGCTCATGTTGGCTCATTCCTCCTCCTTCCCTCTGCACCATCCCCTTTCTCAAGAAAAGCTGGAGGAGCCCATAGGTCTGGAAGCATGGCACATGGAACGGGTCTCAATTAGGAAAAAGCTGAAAGAGACACTTGTACCCTTCAAGCAGAAGAAGAATCCCACGCTGCTCCATCACTTTGACAATCAAGTAGTGCTTCATGTGAAAACTGTCAAAACTCATGAGGAAAAAACTTCAGCCTGTCAATGGGAGGGACAAGCCAGGCAAACACAAGATGTGCAACAGGGGAGCCTAAAGGAGGCTTTTGAACAGTATTTTTGAACAGCATCTACATTCCATTCCAATGAACAGAAAGAACAGTTCTGCTACACTCAGGAACAGAGACAAGTTCTGTGCCCCCGCTGTAAATCCCTCTCTACAGAGAACTGCAAGGACACAGTCTGAAACCACATCCATTTTGATCTCTCAGAAGCATAAAGACAACCGCAAACTGGAAGGAGTCTGCAAGCCACCGTCAGTCCCAAGCTGACAAAAAAAGCTCTAGCCTCCTGCTTGCTTTCATTTGCTGTGGGGTAAAGCTTCAGCTGACCACAAGCAGCTGCCCAAGAATGCAGCACTGGCCTGTGAGCCTTGCAAGTTCTTGCCACCTCTGCCAACTATGCAAAAGAGTCCTACTAGAACTGCACAGCCTGGTCCTTAGGGAGGGGAACTGCATTATGGTCTCGTGCCCCCAAAATTAAGGGTCCTATTCCCATCTCTGCCTCC